CAGCATTTGCTCCAGAAACACTCCATTGGCTACTGCTCTGATTCTCACCTCCCTCCAAGGTTGGAACCTGTCCCAGAGGTGAGAGTGTGGGAGCCTTGGGAGGGCGTAAGCGGGAGGAAGGTTGGGTAACTCCAGGGGAAGCCTGCCAGGCACTGTCACCGCACAGGCTTGCTCCTTTGCAGGGATCCCAGGCGCAGACTGAAGAAATGAATACCCAAGTCACTCTTCCTCCCCCATGTGGAAGCTGTCTGGCCCGCCTCAGCCCCCAGACTGGCCCGTCCTCGACCTGAAGCAGGAGGACATCAGGGAAAGGGGACAGAGGTTGAGGGCTGATTGACGGATAAACTCGCTCTCCCGAGGGTCCCATTCTCAGGGCTTCAAGCCCTTTGTTCCCCCGGAAGAGAACTGGTAGGAAGAAACGTGTGAAGACAGCAGTCTATCCGTAAAGGGATCCCCTGGGGAACCCTGACACCAAACATAGAATCCATTTTAAAAGAAACCTTTAGATAGATAAGGCCCTTCTGAGATCCACTTAAATTCTTTTGCTACTACCAGGAACATTTCACAAAGACTTTTAAAAATACCTTTTCGAATAATACCACAATTAATAAAATAACGAGATTGCTTTATTAAAACTAAAAAAAAAAAATAGTTTGATTTTGTGTAAGGCTCATCCCCAGGATATGACAGGGGCTGTGTTCCCTGACAGCAGGAACAGTTCCTTAATCCTGGCCCTCACCGTGCGTACACCTGCTTGCTCAGAAGTCAGGAGATCGAAGCCTTTTATAGCTGTCAGGATCTCTAGAAATCATTGTTCTGGGCATCTAAGCCTCGTTTTCTCTGGATTGTGGGATATAGCCGCAGAGGAGGGGGAAGCCCAGGCCAGGGGCCTTCACAACCCTGGAGCTGAGCAGACCCAGGCACTCCCACCCCCACACACAGCAGAGGCAAGGTCGTTTGGGGCAAGTATCACCAGGCCTCCTGTCACTGCCTTGTCACTCTTCCCATTCCCACCGCTAGCCCACACCGGCTTGCTGGAGCTGCTTACATGCCTGCCTCCCTCTCTTCCAAATCCAGCCGTGCCCACCAGCCTCAGACCCTCCACCGCCCCTTCCATGAGCTCAGCCTTGGAGCCCATGGAATGAGGACCTGCAAGGTTCGCTGACCCCAGCACCTCGGGGCTCTTATCCCATTTGGCCCTTGACTTTTGGGGGACAGAGTTTGGGGTTACCCAGAGCCCAGGAAAACCAGCAGTGCGATTACACCCACAGTTCATGTGCCCTCTGAGGTGGACATCAAGTTACAGGTGACTCTACAGGATGGGTCAAAATGGAAACAGAGGATGCTCAGTAGGAAAAAAAAAAAAAGAAGGTTAAAAGCAAAGAGCAAAGATTTATAAAGAGGGGAAGAGAGACTAAGCTTCGGTGGAGAGAAAGCAATCAATATGGAGAGGCAGGTTAATTAAATATGGATAATGCAATCAGCCCACACGGGCACCCAGAGAGGAGAAAGCAAAAGCAATACTCACTGTCTTTGACCGGTCCTCATGGCCTGCGGGTCTCTGCCAACGGGATGGTCAGAGAGGCTGCGGGTGAAGGAGCTCTGGGGAGAGAGCAGATCTGTCTTTTAGCAGTTTAGCAGTCAAATCCTTGGCGGGTGAAGGGCATGTGTGCATGCACACGCAGGCACACGCGGGCACGCACACACATCTCCACATGCATGCATGCACAATCCACCTCCCACCACTTGAGCCGGGCAGCGAGCAGCCCCGCTGAAATCTCTTCTCCCTGTTTGTCACATCCAATAAATACTGGAGCAGCCTACACCCAGCGGGCGGCGGCTCAGCTCCGGGGCACAGTCTGCACGCCCATCCTCATTGGCAGGATGCTGGAGGTGCCCCTGCGCGGAGCTCGCCTGGCACTCCTCCCGCACCTTCCTCCTCTGCTTCGCGAAGCTGCTCCCCTGCTTCTTTGGCTGAAGCTCAGGGAGAAGTCCCCACAGCCCAGAGCTGCCTCCCTCTGCACCCAGAGGCTGTGCAGGGGGCAGCGAAGCCGGAGGCATTAACTCTTTCCTGCCGCCACTGAAATCCAGTGTCCAGGGGGCCCCCTTCTAATGAGCTCCGCTGCCCGCTGAAGGCTGGTTGCCGCTCAGGGAGCAGGGAGCATAAAGACCTCGCCCCAGACAGCTGCTGACAGCAGGAGCCACGCCGAACCAAATCTCCTAATGAGCCAGGAGGAGGGGGCTGTCTTGCTGGGTGTGATGTGATGTGATAAATGCAGAGAGCACGAAAGCTACGGGGCAGGTCACACATCTAAATTCCACCTCCTTTCTCCCAATTTCTATTATGCTGCAGTACCGAGCCAAACCACCAAGCCCGGCATTAATTACCCTCTCTGCCACCTCTCAGCTGTCCCCTTACTCTACAGAGGCATTTCTCCACTCCCACCCCTCCCCCCACCCCACCCCTCACTTCTTAATGAGAAATTTCCACCTCCCCGAACATGTCTATTTCCAACTCTGTGCTCCTGTCTCTCACCTGGTTTTTCCTACAGTGGAAATTCACCTCTCTCCCTCATCCATCACCTAGCAACTTCCCCCTACTTGCATAGGTTACAGAGTGAGACTTTTCCCTTTGTTCTGCCCATTCTGTGCATTATTCCAATTTTTCTGTCTTCTACGTTTTTTTCTTCCAGACCGCCTTACCCACGTGGACCTTCACAGTGCCTGTTCAGTTCAGAAGGAGGACTCCCTCTTCCCGCCTGCCCTAGTGCAGTAGTGCTCTGAGTGTGGCCCCTGACTGGCAGCGCTCAGCATCACCTGGGTATGTGTTAGAAATGCCGCGTCTCAGGCCCCACCCCACACATACAGACTCGGAAACGCTGGGGATGGGGTCCAGCCTTCCAGTGATTCTGATGCTAACATTTGAGGACCACCGCCTTGGGATAAAGCTCAGAGTCTCCTCATTCCGCTCGAGGTCTGCGGAGCTGGGCCCCCTGCTCCCACCCGGGAACTAGCTCCAAATGCACCCAGCCTTTGCTGCAAGTTGTTTCTGAAACCCAGAAGGTAGCATTTGCTGGAGGCAGCCAGATCTCTGTAGAAAGAGATGGCTTTTTAATAAAGACACTCCATTCCGTTTGCCTAGCCTTTTATGATGTAGAAAGCATTTCTAAGTATTAGCAATCCCATGTCGTAGTGAGAGAGGGGGTCATTAGCCCGGAGTTACAGATGAGGAAACTGAGCTAGACAGCGGCACCCCCTTTTCGCAGTGACACACCTAAGAGGAGCTCAAGGACCAGGACTTGTTCTCTGTGACTCTCGCGGCAGAGCTTTTTTCACCACGTCATGCTGGGACCCAGTCCTTCCCAGCAGATCTGTTGGTGCATAACCTGTTTTCTCGCAGTGAAATGATAGAAGGAAATCAAAATGCTGATGCTGCCTCCACAGTGACTCATTGTCTCTGTCTGAAAAATGTCCACAGTGCCCCTCTGTGAGGTAAAGGGAACTTGGTGTTATAAAGTGAGATGCAAAAGAAACGTTTTCCATCCCTCACAGCCCCTGCCTTGGACTCTGATGCTAGCTGGGATTCAGAATTTAAGTATAAAGAGAATCCCTTCACTTCTGACCATGTTCCTGGTACTGATGCTAGCTGGGATTCAGAATTTAAGTATAAAGAGAATCCCTTCACTTCTGGCCATGTTCCTGGTACTCTACCATAAGAAAGAGGTACACAGAACCGGTGATTAAAAGCCCATTGATCGGCACTTCCCTAATCCCAGATAAGTGTATAGCATAAGGGGGACCCATGCATGGGTTCCACACACATACCTAATGTTTAATGAGCACTTATGTGTTTAGTCACTGTACCAAACATTTGTACTTGTGTTATCTTATTTACTAGTAACTCTCACAACAAACTTACAAGGCCAACGGCATCTTTATCATCCCCACACTAAGATGGAAAAACAGAGACAAGCCATTATAAGTGGCAGAGCTGGTATCTAATACCAAACTTCATGCTTCCAGCCTCAGCTCTGCCCCTTGCTTTAACACAGCAGTTCTCAACCTGTGGGTCTCGACCCTTTGGCGGTCGAATGACCCTTTCACAGGGGTCGCCTAAGACCATCCTGCATATCAGATATTTACATTACGATTCATAACAGTAGCAACATTACAGTTATGAAGTAGCAACGAAAATAATTTTATGGTTGGGTCACAACATGAGGAACTGTATTTAAAGGGCCAGAAGGTTGAGAACCACTGCTTTAACACAAAGGTAGTGACATCAGGGGACTTCTCTTCTATGAGGAGTCTAAACTGGTGGGATAAAGGCCTCCTTCAGGTCTCAGGCTGCCCAGTCTGGCATCCGGGATTGAAAGGCACCAAGGAGTCAGGCCAGGGCTGCAGGTGGGCTCAAGTCTCGAGTAGAGGCTGACCAACCTTAACCAGGCACCAGAATCTTCAATTAGCCTTAGAGCAATAATAGTCACAGAAAGTCAATAAGCCAAGCCAAATGTTTAAAGAAAGACACAATAATTAATAAAGTTAATTAATAAAAGTGTGAAAGAGAACAAGAATATAAAGAGCAGAAGCTCAGTAGTGTGTGGACATGCAGCAGCCGTGAGTAAAAAGAGAAAACTCAAACTAGTCCGAACTCTTTTTTATTCCCAAATGTTTTTATTGATTTCAGAGAGGGAAGGAGAGGAAGAGAAAGAAAGAGAAACATCAATGATGAGAGAGAATCATTAATCGGCTGCCTCCTGCACACCCCACACGGGGGATGGAGCCTGGAGCCGGCAACCCGGCATGTGCCCTGACTAGAATTGAACCGTGACCTCCTGGTTCACAGGTCAACGCTCAACCACCAAGCCACACCCCTGGACCAAACTCTTTTTTTTTAATCAAAACACTCCTAAACATCAAGGAGTAACCATACTGCACCCTAGTTTGAGAAACACAGACCAAGTACGGCCCCCTTTCATGGGAGGACTCTCCCTTAATCGTCCTTCCTACAGAGCCAGGCGCATAGAGAATTCGGGGGTTGGGGGGGAATTAAGCTGCACCGAGGGGTAAGCATTCTGGCATGGTCTCTCCTCCTGAAGGAGAGAAACAGAGAAGGCAAGCAGGTTGGAGTGCTAATGAGAAAGGCATCCACCTACTTGGACTCTGCATCACGGGCTGGGGCCCCTGCTCAGGAATCCAGAGCTCCAGATCCTTTCCTGGGTGCTGATCCGCATGGTTTTCCCCAGGAAAACAGCCATTACAAGCCCTGCTCTGGCTTCTCAGGCCGCCCTGACTCTCTCTGCTCTTCCCAGTCTACACTTGCCCTCCTGGGAAACCACACCCTGCAGGCGCCGGCCACTGCTTCTCTCCAGGAGCAGGGTTTCGATCCTGCCTCTCTTGAGCTCCAGACCAACTTCCCAGAGGTCTGCTAGACAGCCCTCCCCTCTCAGACTCTGCAGACACCCCTGTCTCTGATGTGACCACCTCTCTCTCCTAACCCTCCATTCCTGCGGGCTCCATCCTAGCTCCTCAGGGTAACAAGCACAGGTATTGGCTTCGTTTCCTCCATATCCCCTTGCTGAATTGGTTTTGAAACCTTATCATCACATCTGTGAACTATTTCTCAACTTCATCCCCTCCCATCCATGGACACTGTCATGTCAGAGGTTATTGGGCACACAGCACAGTGCATGGCCTTCCACCCTCCTAAGTAACTGACTTTCCTGCCTATTTCATCAGCCCCCAAAGCCTTCTGGCACATACACGACCACGAGTTACCCACTGAACAGATACCAGTTCATCCTCATAATCTTTGATGGGCTCCATTGCAGCTCCTTGTCTATCTGACAGTCCAATCTTATTGCCCCATTTATCCATCCAATGCCATTGTGTATGCATGTGCACACACACACACACACACACACACACGCGCGCGCGCGCGCACACACACACACATGCCCGATTACTCAGCTGCTCCCTCTGCCCAGACCATCCCCACCCTGGATCTGCCTTATAACTCCCAGCTCCTCCTCCAAACCCAGCACCTCCAAGCTAAAAATTCTCCTTTCCAAAGCTTTCCCAGAACTTTCTCCATCAGAAGGAACCTCTCCATCCCGACGCCATGGCGCTGCTATGATTCCCTGACAGCCCGCATCACGGCCTGAAGTTCATCCTTGTGACTTATGTTTCCTGATCCTCCCAAATGACTACGTGCTCCGCAAAGACAGATTCCAGGACTATGCCCCTCACTATCAATTCCCATTGCCTCGTACAGAGCAGGTATTTAATAGATGTCGGCTGAATTCGGTTTTGCATTCATGAAAAATCTGAAACATTACGAAGAGTTCCTTTAGGCAAAAACACATTAGACGTCCGCAGTCTCCAGGTCAAGACTGAAGTCCAGCCTAGAACTAATGACACTCAAGGGCAGCAGCTCGGCATTGGCAGACCATCGTTCCCAACAGCCCAGCCGAGGAGGGTGGAATTAGTCAAGAGCAAAAGGAGCACCTGGCATCATCGCACAAAAATGTAATGACATTGAAGATGAAGGGAATTAAAGGCTGCAGTGTAATATTTTTAAAAGCCACGATAGTGGAGAAGGAGATTTCTTGCCAAATGCCCCGTGTTTTTACTTAATCAACACGCCGCCTAGGATAGTGCCACGTTAAGAGCTTTTGATAAAATAGTCATTCGAACACTAGACCCGAATTCTGGTCAGCATGCTAAAGCTCTCCGCAAATCTTTTAAAAGCAATTTCCACTTTGTAGCTTCCTAGTAACAGTAGAAACATGAATCAACATATGCAGCATTGATTTGGGGTTTCCATGGAGACTGGAAGGACATAGGGAAGGGAAGGACAGAAAGAGGCCACTTGACCCAAAATTCTACTAAAAAAAAAAAAAAAAGGCATCTCCATTTCATTCCTCTGAGCATTAGCAGCCTCATTTCCTGTTCATCAGTTCAGGCATCCGGATATTTAATTGGTAATAAGCCTGCTCGACTTCTCACAGGAACATCAGAGGGGACACGAAAAGAAGTCAGCAGCTCAAGGTGTGGGCCCAGGAGGTTTGCAAAGAGAACCCAAGAAGCACAGGATCTGGAATCAGAAGGAAGGACCCCTGGGCCTAACTCTGCCGTTAACCAGCTCCATGATCCTGACGACCCTGACTAGCTGTGTGATCACCAACCAGTATAACCAAGCGCTTTGAATTTCAATTTCCTGCTTTGTAAAACCTAAATTCACACCCCCTGCCCTGTCTATTTTTCAAGGTGGTTATAAGAAAGAAATGAGAAAGGCAGTGGGAAGAAAAATGCTTAGCAAATTCTAGTACACGGTGCACTATTATTATAAC